TGTATTTAACCCTTTTAAATTTGGGCTAAATGCAATAAATGGAAACATACTTTCAAATTTTGTTTGTTATAACTACCCTCTTCCATTTTTTATTTGTTATTACATCCTATGAGTAGGTAAAAAGTATCATGAAATATGATGAACTAGTGGTGATTGTCCAAAAAGTGAAAAAGAATGAGTTAAATAACCCATCAGATGAGGTCAAAAGTGAATAATAACTTGATGTAAACCTTACAACATCTTGCTTATATGTCCCTCCTTTACAACAGGTTTGCAGATGTCCCTTTTTATGACCTTTATTTCGAAAACGTTTGATTTTGTGTTAATTATAACATCCTATTTTTTGTCCCAATTTACCTCAGGTCTGATTATTTGGTGTGTTTAGTTAGTTAAAACATGTTTATATGTTGAATTTTCCCAGAAATCTCATAAAACTATGGTGTACTACATGTTTATTTAAAGTAAACCACTCATTTGCTCATGTTTTTATTCGATTTTGTTGTAATTTTTGTGGCTTATAAACAATTTGATGTAGGTGTTGACGGGAAAGAGGAGTTGTAATCGGAAAGTGGGTGTGCCAAATGCTACCTTATAACCTGATAGGCATTTAGGACAGTTGATTCATTTTTGCCCATTGATGTACATGGCAAGGGCAAAATCAACCAACATAAGAAAAAAACTGAAAATACAAATTCAATTTCCACTCCAAAGTCATGTCTTTCATCAAAAAAACCCAAAATCAACATTGATGAACATGGGTTGCATTATCAAGGGCAAAGTCGTCCAAATCAGTTCCTAAAATGAGACTGTATTTTAATTTCCACACAAGAATCTACCATCATCTTCTCTTTAGAATAATTCCAACAACATCAGTATTGAGATAAAATACATAGAAACAAAATCTTAAAATTTGTTTCAATCACTAGGACTATTGATTTTGATGGTGCTTACTACTTATTGATTTTCATTTATGTCTATTATTTATACATAAAATTTAGGCCTCTTAGATTTTTAACTTCTTTGTGAAATTTTATCATTTTATTAGTTTTCAAAAACGTATCGAATTTTTGAAAAAATCATGTCATGTGTTAAACTTTATACCTCTTAGAATCACATGTTACCGACCTAGCTTTCCACATCCATCACAAGTAATATGTATGTATAGTTTATGTTTTTTTTAATTTAAATTAAAAATTACATTAAATAACAACAAAATGGCCTGAAGTATCTTTTTTTCCCTAACAAGGAGCTATCTTTTTTTCCTTTGCGGACTTGATGTAAATGACTTGAAGTTTTTAATATAAGTTTTGTACCTATTTCTCATTTTAGTTGTATCCAACTGGACAAAAATTAATTTTTTTAGTGTGTAATTTGAAAATAACAAGCTATTTATGAGTGTTTAGGTGGCTTTTAGTGTATTTTTAATATGGATTTTGGTGATGTTGTAGATTTCTAATGGAATGATTATGTGGTAGATTTCTAATGGAATGAAAAGCAAAGTATAAAAGTTTTTATAGACTTTATTGTCCACACATATCTTGAAATACACCGTTAACTAAAGCTAGCACTTAACTTAGAAAAACTTATATAAGTAATTCTTTATAAATTGATAATTTAGACTTATAAAGAAGTGTAGCAAATTTATAGTTAATCATTATATTTTCGTTATTATTAATGTTATTTTAAATTATCACCCATGTGGTACACGAGTTATAACCTAGTGTGTGTGTGTATATATATATATATATATATATATATATATATATATATATATATATATATATATCAACAGAACCTCTCACTCTCTCTCTTTCTCTCTCTCACTCTCTCCCTCTCTCTCTCTCTCTCTATATATATATATATATATATATATATATATATATATATACATATATATATCATAACATAATTTACACATATATATTATTTCATACCAACTGTGAAAATAAGATATCTACCTCAAAATACCATGAATTTAGATGAAAACATCAATTAATCCTGGATCATTTGGTTTTCTTATTGTTTTGAATATAATAAAACGATGAACATAGTTTTTTGGTCAACGTAGCTTCATATTTGCGATTGCTTATTTAAGTTGACAAAAAATATAAGACTTTACGAATATCCGAATATAAAAATTTGCTATCCGAAATTCGGATATTCGAATTTTTGGATGTCTGGTTTTGAACACCCCTACCTCCATCTACCTATTTCATTTCACTAGGTGCTACTTATTTGGCATGATGATTTACATGAGGAAGTTTATACAGAACAAACATTTGTTGCTCTGGGAGTATGGTAGCGTTTTTAAATAACGTAACTCATTCTATGGATTAAATGGATCCCCCACCCCGTGCTTGGTTTAAACTATTAAATATCATGGTAATAGAGTTTAGCTTATAGAGAAGCTCTTATTTTCACTTTGTGTTATTTACTTCATTTTCTTCTTAATAAATTCTAATAGTGGTGTATGTTGATGATATTATTTTTACCGGGAGTGATTTGAATTGGGATCAAGATGTTAAATGTTTTAGTGCATCTCGATGTCAAACAAAAAGAGTTAGGTCATTTAAAATACATATTAGGAATTAAGGTCACTCGTATCTTGCATATTACTTTGAAACAAACAACTCAAGTCCTTTAAAATACATTTTGGTATACCCACGTGTTGCTTTCTCGGTAAGTGTTGCAAGTCAGTTTGTGTCATTTCAATAAACCTCAAATTAGGATGTTAGTCATATTCCGAAGTACCTAAAGGGTTATCCTAGTCATGGAATCCTATATGAGAAACAAGATAATCATGTCATCGAAGGGTTTATAGATGTCGAATACAATAATGACTCTACAAACGTGCAATATGCTACATGGTATTTTAGGTTTGTCGTAGGGAATATAGTTTCATGGAAAAGTAAGAAACTGAATGTTGTTTCTTGGTCAACTTTTGAATATAAATATAAGGCGTTTGGCTCGGACCTCATGCAAGCTAATATGGGTATATAATATCTTGGGTGAAATTAGGTTTGCTTAGTCTAAACCAATGATCATGTATGTGGCAATAAAGAGGCTATCTATATTGCAAACAATCCCATGTCTTATGAAAGGACTTAACATATCGAAGATTGCCATTTTATTCTTCAAAATCTAGAAGATGGAACCATCCTACTCCCTATGTTCGAATAGAAAGCCAAAACTAGTTGATGTCTTCATCAAGGCTTTACATGGTTCTTGGATCTATGCTATTTGTAAAATGGTGGGTATGATTATGCTCCAACTTGAAGGGAAGTATTAGAATATAAATATTGTACTTATTAGCTTCCCGAGTTAGCCCATGGGTTCGTGAGATTTCCTATATCTAGGGTTCCTACCTCTCCCTTTCTCTCTCCCTCCCCCTTTTCTCTCTCTCTCTCTCTCTCTCTCTCTCTCTCTCTCTCTCTTTATATATATATATATATATATATATATATATATATATATATATATATGTCTCCTTATATAGTATCAATCAATAAGGTATTCTCAAATTCAATCTATTTCTTCTTTACAAAGATGATACTGTATTTCTTTTTCTAGGGATTTCACTCTACGAATGAGATTATTATCGAGAAAAAGAAATGTCATCTCATTCAAACCACCACCCTCGTAACCGTGAACCTCATTTCTTCCTTATTTTTCAATTTGAGCAATATATATAGGTTGTCGGTCAATATCAGTTGGTTGATTAATAAACATCAAAGTCAATTACAAGTTTGGTTTTGATGTGTAAGAGTTCGAAGGTAGCGAGACTTTCAACAACGATTATATGTGTTTGGTGTTTATTCTATGGAATTCCTATACTTTGTTTCCACATTCTGAAACTTTTATCTATCTAAAAAGAGAATGGTGTTTGGTGGTAATCGGGGCCCTGATCCTAATATCACGATGAGAAAGAACTGAGGAGATTTGGATGCAAAATAATCGTTTTTTTGTGAAGCATTAAACATTCTCATCGTCCTGGAGATCAAAAAAAAAACTTGTTTTGGACCAGATGATACAATTGTGAAGCTTTTTGGACCGTATAAAAAACAATAAACTATAGAAACCAAAAAATTATAATTTAACTCGTCATTTTCTATAGACATTAAAGAAAACACATTAAAATTGTAAACCACGGGGACAAAATTTAACTTCGAGAACCTCCGTAAATTTTGATAAAACCACATAAAGATAATTCATTTCACTTAAAACCCTTATGGCTCTAAAACCTCACAAAGAAAGCCTAAATTTCACAATAAATTTCAAGAGGACAAGACATCGATATGAATCGTTGGTCATCATTATATTATATGATAGGTATTTAAGAATATATTTTTTAGTCGTACATATCCAGATCGTCCATCGTAATGAAGCATTACTATAAGTTTGAGAGGCTAATTACGGAATAATAAAACTGATTCATATCTCAAATTGTGTTTTAAACACTATGTTTTGCTTTCATTTGCACTTTGAACTGCTTTCACTTTTTGTTGGTTGTAAAATGAGGTTTCTATTCATGAACATAACTCTCCAAGAAAACTTATAAATTATCATTTTTTGTTTCTTAATGTTGTAAATGTTTTTATTCCTACAATTGACTCACTTTTGTCCTTTTCCAACTACACAATTTATTTAATATGTTTAATGGTATTGATCCCCTATCTAACAGTAAATGCATGCATTTATTTCATTCAACACTTCCTAATTCCTATCAACTTTTTTGACCATTAATGTTTAGAATATATAAGAAAATATTATATTGCGTAGTAACCCACGATTTAAAATAAAATATAGAAAGGCAAGAATAAAGGTACGCATAACTATATGGTCTAAAACATTACAGTATTTCTTTTTAAAAAGAAGTCAACTAATGGTTTACAACAATTATTTCTTTTTAACAAGAAGTCAACTACAATGTTTTCAAACAAATTAATTACTTAAAGTTCATCTATAAATCAACCATTACATAGTCAAACACTCAAGACACCATGGCTATGAACTATAGCGTTATATTCCTTTCATTTTGCTTGGCATCTATTATCTCACAAGGGCTAGCCCGGAGATCAACATCCATTCATCCTCCCAAACCTTCAAAGGCATCATACCTTCATCCTCCCAAACCTTCAAAGGCCTCGTACCTACAGTGTTGGGCAGCGTTATATGATCTTGAGGCATGTTATACTGAATTTTTACGGGCTGCACAAAATTTCAGAATTGATACCGGCATTGGACCAACTTGTTGCAGAGCTGGGGAACGCATGAATGCTGGGTGTTGGCCAGCATTATTTCCTTTCAATCCGTATTTTCCCATACAACTTAAACTGTATTGTTTCCGTTATTGGGTCCCAAATCCTCAAAAACCATCGGTGGCTTCTCCTCCACCTGTGGTTGCACCAACACCAGAACCAAGCGCAGATATACCCATTGATGAAGGTCGAGTCGCTCTACCGCTATTTGCACCATCATCAAGTATCAAGGGACCTTTTATGAAGACACCAAATTGAACGACAAATACATTCCTTTTAATTACAAAATGAAGATTTTGGAAAATGAGCATTTTAGTTGAAATATTGTTAAAAAGGCATGTTGCATTTTCTCCATTTCGATAAATAAATTCTTGGATCATAATATTGTATTTATAGTTGTTAACTTATATGAATTTAAATGAGGCTGTATGGATACAAACATGGTTTAATTAGTTAAACATTTCAAAAGTAGAATTTTCGTTTTGGTGGATACCTATTACTGTATTAGTTTTGTAGGCTAATTCTCTTTATAGTGAAACGGATGTACCTCTAAAGTATCTGTTGAACACCGTGTTTTGCTTTTGCTTTTCGTTCACTTTTGTTACTTGTAACGAGGGAGTCTATTCCTGTCTGTATCAAGTTCAAGTGATACATGAATTGCTCACCACATCCGGCGGAAGTAACTTAAATGGTAACGAACATTGCTTTCCATCTTCCGAGATTGTTTTTTCCCCGGCTAATACATAAATATTAAAGTAAACTGGGTTATAAACCGTGTGGGAATCACGGTTATAAAATTAAACAAATTTTGATACTTAAAAATCATAATTATTAATCAATTATTTTCAGAAAATTATTAAGTAACAAGTTATGTGATTGTTATGTCACTTTGGTTGTTTTAAATAATTTGTGATTTTTTTAAGTAATATGAGACATTAATTATAAAGGAAAATGAGAAATGTTAGATTTCCTTTTTAGGATGAGGATGGCATTTATAATTTGTAAAAGGATGAGATTGAAGAATAAAATCCATTTATGTAATTTCTAAAAGGATGAGATTGAGGAATAAAATCCTTAACGATTTGTTTCCAAATTACAAAATCATTCAAATCTTGAAAATTAATTTCTTTAATTTCTTAAAGAAAAAAAAAGAAAAACGAAACATCGGTTGATTATTAGGAAGGATGATTAATTGATTTTTTTATATTAAAATTGAATAAATGGTTTATGATATAACGGGATTCACATATTACTTTATTATGGTAATTTTTGAATGAAATTATTAGAAAAGGACATGAACTTAATGTTATCCTATTAATTAAGTTTTGATCGATAGAGATAAATATCGATTGTATATTTTCCTATATATAAAAGGAGTTTTGTACCGAGGTGTTGTATTTTTGAAAAATATTTACTACATCATGGTACTTTAAAAATTAATTACCAAAAGATAATGAATTAGTATATTATCGGTTTTGTTATTTCTTTTTAGAGATTTCTAATTAATTTTAAATTTTATCACCGTCACTGCATCACATCAATGTTTCTGGCCATCACCATTCTCCCCCTACCAACCAATTCATTTTTACTGCAACAATTCTTCTACAAATTAAAACATACGACTTTAGGAAAATCAAAAAATAAACCTAAAACTGTAAACAAAAATCAAAATAAAAGAGAAGTATGATAAAGCAAACCTACTCTGGAAGTCCTAAAAACAAATTCAATTTAGTTAAAGTTATTTTTAGGGTGTTCGGTGTATGCTTATATACGTAAGCTCTTCTTTGTTTCTATTGGGGTTCAAACTACAAAATATAAATACATATGCCCTTGTAACACAAAAGAACAACACGGAACGTAAACTCGACAACAAACATTAGCATGACTAAAATCAGTGGAAGAAAGCCCGACGGACACCGATAAAGAAGAAGATCACATGAGAGAAACCATGGAAACCGGGAGTCTTTTAGCCACTCCATTCAGCGGAAAAGATAGAAGTGGATGAGAGTTGTTCAATGAACAAATGCCAACGTAATTGCAAGGTTGCAGAGGAAAGGAAGATGAAATGGAGAGGAGAACTATAACACGGAGGAAAAAAGAGATAAAAAATAAGATGAAAGAAAAGCATCTATTGCAACAGGCCGTGAAGCAAAATTCGGGATGAAACTTTCGAAGTTGTTCAATTTTTCCCGTGAAAAAAAAGTTGTTACCCTTTCCAACGAATACGCTGAAACTAATTTGTTCCACATAAGTCCATTGAAGCTCCCTAATCCCGCGTTTGTTTCAAGCCATTGAATTTTTTCGGAGTGTTCATCATTTCCAGCGAATAAGAACTGAAGAAGAGGGGAAAAAAATACCCAGCCTGTGGTGGTGGATCAAATTATTCTAATCATTTTATTTATTATGAAAATACGGGACCCACCATCTTTTTAGTTTTTACCATTATTTAGTAAATAAATTTGAAACTATCATTGTTTGGTAAATTCTTTTTCTAATTGCCATGTTTTAGTTAAAAACTCATATAAAAGTAATAAATGGTTCCTCATTAGACCGGAGGGTGTGGGTGGGAAACTTCTCTTACTTTTTGTGGGCCACAACACTATTTCCATCACTTTCATTTCCCTCACCTAAACCCAAGAAATGGGTGAGAAGCTTTACTCACTATTTGTTTTTTTATTTTTTTAAATAAATTTAATTCATTTTTATAATTTATAATTTTTAAATTAATAAAAAACACAACATTTAATTAAAAAGTGTTAAGTATTTAGTTTAGTTATTTCTTTTTATATTCTCTCATAGTATAGGGTCCCTTTGTGTAATATGTATTCTACATATATGTATTCAATACACGCAACCCTAATTGACAGGTTTTCACATCATTCAACATGTTATCGAGCCTTCCTATGATTGCCTTCTGAATCAATCGTACAAGCATCAGACGTGTTTTTTTTTCTGGCGCTGCCTCCAGTTCTTCATTGTCTGCCATTGTCGATTGAAGCCATTGCCCGTGTGTTTTTTTTCTCCCCTGTGATTTCCTGCTGCCTTCTGTGTCATCTCGATCACAACCCCTTCCAAGCAATCTTCACTAATCGCATATCACTTCCTGGTTCACTACCCGTGTTCTGCTAATCTCTATTGAGTTAAACTACTGGTACATTTAAACTTCTTTATTCCTTTAGTTTAGCTTTATGTTTATTATTTACTATTCTTGTTAGATTTAGTTTCTCGATTTCCTTTACCTGCCATGTCCACTGTACCCACATCGAGCTCCACCACCTCTCCTACTGCTACATAACTTGTCTTTGCACTAACTAATGTCTACAACCAGTTTAGCTTTAAACTATTGGTTGATGGGTCCAAATACAAACTGTGGAAGCGTATTTTCATAGACATGTGCAAAGGAGCTAAGGTGCATAGTCATATTACTGGAAAATCCCTCCTAAAAGGTGATGATGATGAAGATTGGGAGGCCATTGATTCTCGGATCAAATCTTGGTTTTATACTACCTGTGATGCTAATCTTTTGCAGATTATTTCTAGTGATGACTGCACAGCCAAAGACCTTTGGGATAAGCTCACTGAATTCTTCCTCAATAACAAGATGTCCCATATGCTCCAACTTCAAGAGCAATTTCGAAATACCAAGAAAGGGTCTTCATCAATCACAGAATTTTGCCACACTTTGAAGAACTTGGCTGAAGCACTAGCTGATTGTGATTCCAAAATTGATGAAATTGAGCTTGTTATGTAAATTCTCCGCCAGCTTCCGCCATTCTATCATAGCATTGTTGATGTGATTACAAACACTAAGTCGTTTCCCTCATTCCTCGAGGCCAAAAACATGCTCCTCCTGTATGAATCTCGTGAAGAAGCAATTGATCCAACTGGTGATTCTACACTTACATCGTCCGCTGCCTTGTACTCATCTGCAACCACCAGTGGGAAATCGAAAAATAAGTTTAATATGGGTAAAAATAATGGACGTTTTTGTTAGGTTTTGAGCATTCTAACACTCCTAAGGTGTACATGCAACCCTAAATACCTTGGATCTATGTTTTCTCTATTATACATGCAAGCTTGAACTATCCAAGGTATTACCCTAACCAGCATACAAAAGTTTATACATGGGTAATAAAACAAGTTAGATAACATACATTTTCTTGTAGTTTGAAGCCTTGGACCTTTAAGAACTTAGTGCCCCAAGTGTTGCACCTCAAATGGAATCACACAACACCACCAACAATTGGAATAACTTGAGAGAAGAACACTTGCACTTCATGAAATCAGCTAGCCCTCCTTGCCAAGACTATAGGTAACATTTCATGAGCTATGAGGCTTCTTATATAGTGTGCACATTAGGGTTACACCATGTAACTCATGACTTTCCACATTCCTCATGATCCATGGGTTTTAACTTCCATGGAGTATCCATGGGTCACCACATGGGTTTAGCCCAACATGAAGAACTATGGATCATAAGCCCACTTTATAAGAATGAATGATTTACCAAATCAATCCCCATTTATTTAATTAGTCTCTTTTGATCACAAAATTAATTCCAAATTAATTATTGATCAATACTAATTAAATAATATGATTTCATATTAATATATTAGAACTTATAATATATTAATAAATCATAAATATCCTCTTCTCACAAAAGTCTATCCAAATTGTTCCGATGCCATGCAACCCAAATGGACCATGCTACTCTCGGGTCAAGTACATACCAATAATAGTTATGGGCTTAGACACCTAATCCAACAGTCTCCCACTTAGATAAGTATAATAACTATTATTGCAAGCATGACTTCAACCCGACTAGCAATCGTAGCTCTTAAAAGCCGCTGTCGAACTCTGATCTAGTCAATAACATGTCCATTAGATAAGGGATCATATATTCCTCCATTCTAGATATCATATGGACTGAGACATGGATTATAATCATTCCCTCTGTCCATCTGTTGTTTTCCGATTTCCGATTTATGACGACTGACTAATTAAACGAATCAAATCAGTCCATGCCTGATGTCATCACTAAATCATCGAGGGGCCCACATATATCGCTTTTATCCACATGGGGTAAAAGGAACGGATAAACTTCGACCCAAATGCTCGCTTGTACTTACTCATCGAATTACATACAACGATATGTTTTATATCATCCAAGTTACTGGTGTGTTTACATATGTCAATGTGTAACCGACTCGTAACTACAACTCACATGTCTCCGTTTCAAGAATATAAGATATTATCGTCTCATGATCAGTCGTGATAAAATCCATGAAGTGATT